AATAGGAGAGACGGCCACCTTGAAGAGCACCGCTTTCTATGATGAATTCGGTCGAAAAAGAGCCATAAGCTCGAACTGGCTTTGGCTATTAATATATAGGGATCATATCAGTAAAACAAGCTTCTCAGTTACACCTTTCAAGGAGAGCCAACGCTAAAGTATGAAGCGTTCGACCATTTTCAAATCAAGGAAGACAGAAATGTCGGGTCTACAGTAATAATTTCTGTTCCAAAATTTGACGAAAAGTGGAAACGTTATCGATAAAACCCCTACCAACTCTGAAACCAACCTGATTTTCACGCGTATACCACTCAGATATGGTGGACAATTGGCAAGAAACTTCGACGCTCAGTTCAACTGGCCTCCCACCGACATTAGGTCTGTCCCCCCTCCCTACATCGGCTAGGCATCTACTACCAGTTTGTGTCAGTCCTCCATCTGAAACGGAGGTTTCCCGGGAAATAAGTTATCTCAAAAGGTAGAGGGCCTCCGGCCTGGACAGACTGTCCCCATCCGTTTCTCAGGATGGAGGTTCAGCGTTAGTCTGTGAGTTGACCCAACTCCTGGGTTCGGTGTGGGAGAAGGAACAAGTTCCACTTGACTGATATGAGTCGGTCGTCTGACCTCCTCTGTAAACCACAGAAGAATTAGGTTGATCAACATTGTCTCCAAAGTTCTCGTTGATATGACCATTTGCCGCACGGAAACAGTGCACACGTAAGAACCAGGTTGTTTTTAGACCTGGTCGAGGTTGCAAATACTATCTTCATTCTTCGCCAAATCGAGAGTACGGACACTCCTTCCGTAGACACACTACCTCTGACTTTCCTGATATGAAAGCGGCTTTTGACTCAGTCGACCGCTCTAAACTCTGTCGCTGCCCTTCTCTTTGAAGCAGGTGTCTGAGAAGTTCTTTTGAACATTCCGATCCCTTTATACTAATAACCGAAGCCGAGTTTGAGTTTGCAGCACTTTTTCACCCGAGTTCAACACGGAAGGTGATGTTCGTCAGGGTTGCCCTCTCTCTCCCCATTTCTGTTTAACTTCGTTATAGATTTAACAATGGAGACAACCTTATCCTCGTTCGAG